TGTATCTTCATCAACATATAGATATCATCTTCATCATCATCCTACAAGCATCACCATCATCATACAATCATCATCTCAGATCATCACCTTCAATCATAATCTTCATTCCATTTGTATCTTCATCAACATATTATTATCATCATCATATCATCATCATCCTCAACATCATTTATTCATAATGATATCATCATCATTCCAGATTTACAAACATTATACTCACATTTAAAATCACCCACTTAGTTGGTGTATACATCAATTCACATGGACATACACAGCTTCAAAGTGATATATTTCATGCTCTGAATCAAATTTCCAATACAAAATATACTTAAACTTACACTCACCCATACACACACACACACACAATACCCAAATGACAGTCATTTGAATTAAGAAATATGAAAAGAAAACAAAACAAAAATGCAGTTGTAGAGGAGGGATATCAGAGCTTGAGAGAAGCAGACAGAAAAAATAAGGGAGGTGTAGGTCTTAAAAAATAAAGAGATAAAGATAGAGGTACTGCATATTCTTAGTCATTATATCCGAAGCCATTTAAATTATGGATCTTTTTAACATTTTGTGTACTTTTACGAGATTTCGCGAAGATACGATGGCGACCTTCACCAATATGTTAAAAAATGATTAAGAAATATTCCCTAAAAGCAATTTAAAAACAAACGTCAGATGATAAAATGTATAACAAATGAAAACGAAATGTATAAGACCAAATTCTAACAAGGTTACCGCGAGCGGTATATAATACGCCCGTCACACATTGAATGAGCAGTTGTTTGTATGATTGAAATATATGAAGTATTTGTGAGTAATTGATATTAAAAGAGAAATCATTCAACATAACTGGTAGATCAATGAGTGCAATACAACATCATGGAACACATGCATCGCATTAATGAAACCAAGGGTAATAACTCCAGTAATTACGGTCGGATAATGGCGGTTATCGAACTTGTCCGAGGTTTCATGGTAATTAACCTTGTTGTGAAGTTTGAAGTTAATCCGTTAATAATTACTCGAGATATCGAGCGGACACTGTTTCGGCAAGTCCATAAAGGGGCATAACTCCACAAATTATGGTCGGATAATGGCGGTTATCGAACTTGTCCGAGGTTTCATGGTAATTAACCTTGTTGTGAAGTTTGAAGTTAATCCGTTAATAATTACTTGAGATATCGAGCGGACACTGTTTCGGCAAGTCCATAAAGGGGCATAACTCCACAAATTATGGTCGGATAATGGCGGTTATCGAACTTGTCGGAGCTTTTATGGTAATTAACGTTGTGGTGAAGTTTGAAGTAAATCCGTTAATAATTACTTGAGATATCGAGCGGACATCGTTCGCCCGCCCGCCCGCCCGCCCGCCCGACGGGCGTATAAAAAGTGACAAGGATATAACATATGATCTCTAAATTGATTGTTAACTTTTTTCATCAATCACGCCAAGTGATGAAGCAAACTTGAGGTTGGAATTTGTTGTGACCTAAAATGCACTGAAAGGTTTATTGTAGGCTTGTAACGAATTTCATTACCCAGGTGCATTGTATTTTGGTGGACGCTAGGGAGGTGTTTTAGACCCTCACCTTTTAAGGTATAAAGGGTACTTTGTTGTGCTAAATGTATACTTTGCACCACTTTTTTTGGACTGAATTTTGCATACATATTTGAAAGAACACGAAATCTTCATACTTTAAAAATGTTTGGTATATAAGATTGATAAGAATGAAAAATCCTATATTCTACGTTAATATTTCCACATTATGTTCGATTAAACTCACATTATGGATGATAAATATATTGTTAAAGCATTGCATGAAAGAAAATGTTCTTTCCCAAGTATAGCGATGCAAAAAATACTAATTTTGTCTAAAACAAATGCTTTTAGGCTAATATTCCATTTGTCGACCCCCCATGCTGAAATTATGTTAATTAATTATCTGAATATAATTAGTAGAGTTATTCAAAGTTATAACTCCAGATGTGTAAAGGGTTTAAAAAAAATAATCTCGTAGCACTTCTGAAACAAAAGTTTTGAGGGGGCAGGCTCCTATGTAATTTTAACATAGCTGTAAATAGTCCCTTTGATAAAACCCCTATCCTACACCCTTCGGCATGAAAGAGTACTTTTCTCTCATTCCAACTACCTGAGGAAGCTCAGAAACCATTAAATGCGTTTGGACTGGCTACCATTTTAAAAATATCATTTGTTATTCCCCGCTTTCACCGAAACGGGGGATATTAATTTGGGTTTCTCCGTCTGTCCTTCTGTCTGTCTGTCACGCGTCGTTTCCGTGCAATAACTACAACAATTGTTAACCGATTTTCTTCACACATAGTCACAATGTTAAATGCCTTAAGGGCTCGGCCAAATTATATGACCACTTTCAGCGGACCCGATTTGGCGGGGTTATGGCCCCTTGAATAATGAAAAACGTCATTATCTGCCGCGCTTCGTTTCCGTGCAATAACTACAACAAATGTTAACTAACCTTCTTCAAACTTAATCAAAGGGTTAAATACCTCAAGGGCTCGGCCAAGTTCGATGACCACTTTCAGCGGACCCCATTTGGCGGAGTAATGGCCCCTTAAATAATAAAAAAGTAATTTTCTGCCGTTTCTGTTCATTAACTCTCGCAAATATTATCTGATTGTCTTCAAAATGAGTAACAGGGTTCAACTTATTAAGGGCTCGGCCAAGATTGACAACCACTTTAATCGGACTCCATTTGGGAGAGGTATGGTCCCTTGATTAACGAAAAACGTCATTATCTGCAGTTTCCGCTTAAAAACTCTAGCAAATATTAGCCAAATACCTTTAAACTTGATGACAATGTTTGTGTTCCTCTGTCTTTCCACCCATCTCGGGCACTCTTTGGTTTTCGTGTGATAATTGCTGTAGATACTGTTCAGATGTTTCAACCAAATTCTGTATGCCAACTGATGTGATTTGAGCATATTTACGGAGAATAAATGAGGTATAGAGCTTTATTTTTCTCCAAGTTTTAAGCTATGCATTATGTCTCAACAGCACGATACTGATTTGTTTCAACCTAACCTCAATAATGTTAAACTACAATTTGTCCTGCAAGCGGGGGATATAAATTCCACGAATTTGCTTGTTCCTCTGAGCTTTTAAGACAAACAAGAGGTCCAACGGACCTGCATCGCTCACCTGGTATTAATCTCACACCTGTAATCTTAAAAGTGGACTAAAATACAGCTACAGGCAAAATATCAGTGTTTGATTCATAGGAACCTATTAAAAGATTTAAACATATGACGCCTGTGACCATGAATGTCGAACAAGGACATCAGGTTGAAAGTGGATCAAGGTCATTCATTAGAACAAACTTGGTAGCCCTTCATCCCAGCATGCTACAGGCTCAATATAAGTACTCTGGGCCTTTTGGTTATTGAGAAGTTGTTTGAAGATTTTAAAACATTTGACCCCTGTGACCTTGAAAGCTGGTCAAGTTCATTCATTTGAACAAACTTGGTAACCCTTCATCCCAGCATGTAACAGGCCCAATATCAGTACCCTGGGCCTTTTGGTTATTGTGAAGAAGTTGTTTGAAGATTTTAAGACATCTGACTCCAGTGACCTTGAATGTGGGTCAAGGTCATTCATTTGATCAAACTTGGTAGCCCTTCATCCCAGCATGCTACAGGCCCAATATAAGTACTCTGGGCCTTTTGGTTATTGTGAAGAAGTTGTTTGAATATTTTAAGACATCTGACTCCAGTGACCTTGAATGTGGGTCAAGGTCATTCATTTGAACAAACTTGGTAGCCCTTCATCCCAGCATGCTACAGGCCCAATATAAGTACCCTGGGCCTTTTGGTTATTGAGAAGAAGTTGTTTGAAGATTTTAAGACATCTGACTCCAGTGACCTTGAAAGTGGGTCAAGGTCATTCATTTAAACAAACTTGGTAGCCCTTCATCCCAGCATGCTACAAGCCCAATATAAGAACCCAAGTCTTTTGGTTATTGAGAAGAAGTTGTTTGAAGATTTTAAGACATCTGACCCCAGTGACATTGAAGGTGGGTCAAGGTCATTCATTTGAACAAACTTGGTAGCCCATCATCCCAGCATGCTACAGGCCTAATATCAGTACCCTGGGCCATTTTGTTATTGAGAAGAAGTTGTTTAAAGTAAAAAGTTGACGCCGGACAGACGGACGATGGACGGACGGACGGACGCCGCACCATAACATCAGATCACTTGCCCTTCGGGCAGGTGAGCTAAAAAATCTGTCCACCAGATTAAGTAAACCCTTAAATTGCAAACTGTTGGCGCAAAAATATAATCTCATTTTTCTAACGTGTACAGTTAATATATCGTAGTAGGTTTTAAATTCATCACGACGTCTCTTCCGAGTTTTCAAAGTTCGTGACGTCATGTCATTGTTGAGCAATTGTCACGTCACGTGAAATAGGGAGTATAATAGAAATTTACTGTTAATGGTTCGCGACATGTTATTCATTATATATAATATACAATATATGAAACACCCATCCGGAGACTGGCAAGGACTACCTCGTCTCGGCGGTTTTTTTCATAGCTTAAATACCATTCACCGGTTTCTAGGCTGGATATAGTGTCATTTGTTGTCTGCACATTGATTCTAGTTATTTTGCCACTTTGCCCTTCAAACAAAATTAACAATTTAAAAATTTGAAATTAAGTTTAAAATCCGGGTTAGCAAAGAAACATGGACAGAATTTGAACTAAAGAATATTTAAAATGGAAATCATTGAAATATTACAAATGCAATCAGACTATTTTTGTTAAGAATACGAGGAATCCACTTATAGGATAATTCTTGGTAAATCTAGGTAATACCAAGTAATTCCGCCCCTAAAACTTAGAAACGTGGCAGTACAATGTAGTATCTCTCCGGATTTTCAATACATTTTATCTCCTAGTGTGGGATATATATATATATATATATATATATATGTTTTCTTTTTCATTTAACCTAGATCCCAATTCTGTCTCATAAGAAAGATGTCTGAAAATAAAAAGGTAGAGGTAATAACTGACGTCAGCAGGTGTCGTGACGTCGTCAGGGAGCTCGAGAAATGTGACGTCATCGCAGTTGACGCTGAAGGAGTCCAGTTGGGTAAGGATGGCCCCCTGACACTGCTGCAGGTCGGAACGCTCGATCACGCAGTCTACTTGTTTGACATCCATACCAACAAAGATCTCTTCATCCAAGGGAAGCTTCAGGATATACTGACTTCAACAAAAACCGAGAAGGTATACTTTGTGGTTTTTTTATGTTATTTATACCATTTACACCCATTTTTCAGGAAAGTCGTTTAAGATCAAACTGAGATTAGGTAGGAAAACTCGTATTTTTATGTGACTCCCTAGGTGGCGTCACCGGAATAGTTGCTTTATTCCATTATTTATTGATTGTATGTAATTTTGTACTGTGTATACGGAAATAAGATACATTCAAGTTTCATCAAAGTGACGTGGTCCTTTGGGACCAAGTTTGTACCATAAATACCTTAGATTTATACCATCGGAAATCACCCATTCTGTCCAAGAGAAAATCGTTTAAGACCAAACTGAGATTCGATAGGAAAACTTTCATTGTCATATGACTTGCTAGGTGGCGCCACCGGAATAGTTGCTTTATTACATTTACCAGTGGATCGGTTAATATAATACAAACGGATTTGAGGTAAAAAGCGAATCGGTTTTGAGGTTGTTAAATTAACGCTTGGTTTAGTTGCGAACCGAAACGGACTGTGATCGTGTACTTTAGTACTTACATCTCGAAGTAGCACCGGGCAACACGCCTCTTATGTTTTACTCCTGTCGTTATAGATGAAAATAACATGTGTCACAATATCTTATACTTTGTATCTCTTTTAACGATTACATTATCTCTGCGTGACCCAATAATGATACTGAATCCACACATCTGTACGATATTCCGCTCAATATTCGAGGGGCGTCGACATACACACCTGAAAACTTGTTATAAACTTTGCGAGTTATCTCCCGTTGATAGATCTGCACGGTTTTCACTTTATACACCTGTACATGTTAATCGTACATTGAATGTTTTCTTTCTTGTGTGGTTATTATTTTCTTTGATATCCATTCGTCTCGTCATATATTTTAAGTAATGTTATATGTACATTGTGTACACATATATTTCAGACTTAAAATCATATGCCGTTTATAGTTCTTTATACCTAACTGCAAAACAACCAAGATATTCTGCTTTACGCATAACGTTTTGAGTGTTCCGGTCGTGTTGTGAAGCACCATACAGAATTAAGGATTTTTTTTTGCTTTCTACTTGGTAACTCCAAAGCGACAAAAAAAATCTGCTGCACACATTGCATTATTTGGGATCTTTATCTTTCTTTCTTCTTTTAATTACACCCCCCCCCCCCCCCCCCCCCC